GAAACAGATGCCCGAGCCACCTCAGCTGGTTCCTCTCGATGTGGAGGAGCAGCGGTTCTACTCTGAGCTCCTCCCAGGTGACCGAGCTCCCCCCCATTTTTAATTGTATCATGATTAAATCAAAGCGGACACATGATATCCTGCATGAACTTGTATAAAGAAAAAAAACAAAAAAACATTGTCCCATCTCTACTGTATGGACATGGCTGTTCTCTTAAGCCATGTTTAGAAGAGTGGTTTTCAAACTGTTTTAGACTACAGCATCCCTTCAAAGGAAATTTTTGATTGTTTTGATTGCCACCCAACCCCCAATACAATAGCATTTACTCATATTCTATTATATTAGGCCCAAGCAATCCCTGGTAGGCTAGTGGTTAAGGCGGCGGGAGCGCTGCGCCCCGGGTTCGAATCAGGGTTGCGTCAGGAAGGGCATCCAGCGTAAAACACGTGCCAAATGTCAACATGCGAGTCATCAGTGTGACTATTCGCTGTGGTGACCCCTAAACGGGGGAAAAGCTGAAAGTGACTTTCTTATACTATATTAGGCCCATTCTCATTTGCAACAGGTGCTAGGCAAATTTATAAATAAATGTTTGAACTTAAAGAGCCCATGGCATGCTTTTCCTTGTTTCCTGACTTATATACAATGTTACAAAGATAAATTCATTTAAAAGGGACTGAAAGCTCAAAAACCGAGGTGTATGTTCTAGTACCTCTATCGACAAGCAACTCGCTTTATACACGTCTTGTGAACTCCTCCCCCCCAACTATGTAAAGTCTTAAACAACAGTTTACAGATTTCCTTAAATGATCATATTCTCCAGCCAGGTGCACGTTCCTGTGAGCTTGCCTGACATTTACTGGTGCCACTCTATCTGTGACATTCTAATTTTCCTTCCTGCTGCTGCACTGTGACCAGAGAACGTGGAGAAAAATATGCGTGAATGGAGCGACTGGAAACCTACAAGCAGCCAGCCAATGAAGAATCCTTGGGTGATAAATGATCAGCTGATCAACACTGGATTCCCAGAGCACAGTACCTGTTTGTTTTGACTGCTTGAGGACAACGTGTCTTTTGCATGTGATGCATTGCAGGTTGGCAAGAAGATTCTAACAATCCATGATTTTATTGTCGCTGCCTGTTGAAATTAATTTCACTGCTTAAGGACTGTATGTGGTCACCTGTAACGCGAGGGATTTGAGGGGGAAGGCACAGCGGCCACTGGCTAGATTTACCGACCTTGGAGCTACTTGAAAGGGAATGACGTTTCCACTACTCGGTGGGACTTAAGAGTAAGTTTAAAAAACACCACATATGTTGCGTGTCTGTTAACATGTTGTTTCTGTAGAGAACTGTTCTAAGGCTGGAGAAGTTACTATGTCTGCATTATGCCAATATGGTGTTTCTCAATTACCCACTTTGTTTAAAGTGTTACACATCTCTTTTCATTGGTACATACAGGTGCAGCTCAATAAATTAGAATATCGTGGAAAAGTCCATTTATTTCAAAAGAGGACTTTGGACCACTGGGCAACAGTCCAGTTCTTCTTCTTCTTAGCCCAGCTAAGACACCTCTGACGTTGTCTGTGGTTCAGGAGTGGCTTGACAAGAGGAATACGACAACTGTAGCCAAATTCCTTGACATGGCGGTGTGTGGTGGCCCTTGATGCCCTGACCCCAGCTGCAGTCCATTCCTTGTGAAGTTCACCCAAATTCTTGAATGAATTTTGCTTGACAAGCCTCTCACGGCTTGGATACAGCTCTCTGTGAACAGCCAGCTTCTTTGGCAATGAATGTTTGTGGTTTACCCTCCTGGTGAAGGGTGTCGATGATTGTCTCCTGGACAACTGTCAGATCAGCAGTCTTCCCCATGATTGTGTAGCCTAGTGAACCAAACTGAGTGACCATTTTGAAGGCTCAGGACTTGCAGGTGTTTTGAGTTGACTAGCTGAGTGGCATGTCACCATATTCTAATTTATTGAGATAGTGATTTGGTGGGTTTTTGTTAAATGTGAGCAAAATCATCACAATTAAAAGACCCAACGGCTTAAACTACTTCAGTCTGTGTGTACTGAATGTATATAATATACGAGTTGAGTTGAATTACTGAAATAAATGGACTTTTCCACAATATTCTAATTTGAGCTGTACCTGTATACGGTTGTTTATCTATCTATGGAAGAGAAATTCAAATTAATTGATGCTGTTGCGGTTCGTCATGCTGTGCACTTTCATATTCTGGCTTGAACATGTCTGGTTGGATCTGAGGTATTGTCATTGTTGAAAATTTAGCTTATTTGTTTAAGTTTTTTGTTTATTTTGTTTGTGTTGTCATAGCTTCCTGACCAGCAACAGGAGTTGTGCATGTTCATGAACTATCCTCCCATTTTTAGGAAGAGGCTCTCTGTAATTATTTCAGAATGATGAAACCAGACTATTTGGAGTTATGAGGGGTGCCAAACTAATCCAGAGGTACCCAAGAATAAATGTTAAATGGCTGGAAAGGAACAAAATGAGCTGCCATAGGAACTTTAAAAAGAGCTCTCTTCTGCTAGTAAATTGGGAAAACAAAGCTTGCAGAGTACTAGTTTACTCACTTGTCAACACTTAACAAGACTGTCATTGGCATATCAGAGGTAAACAAAGGTCATCGCTGCTCTCACCTGATGTCCTCTTCATTTTCAGGGAAGCTCCAGTATGCAATGCGAAGCTGAAGCTGTTCTGGGACAGGGGGGTAGACCTTCTCCACCACTTCAAACGGGATGTGGAACGCTACTTGCTTTGCTGACAGCTCCACCAGAGGAATAACCTGACCATCTGAGGAAGATCACAGGACAGAAACAGATGAGAGAAAAACATACTATACTTTTTTCCTTCACTCTAGTGTCACATTATGGAAAGCTGCAGGTTGAATGACCTTTATCTGTGACACCACTGAACAGAGTGGGGCGGGTGCATTTAGAAATGTGTTCACTAGCACCTGTAACCATATCCCACAGTGATGTCACCATGTACTAGAGTACTTCTACATCACAACATCCAGTTAAAGGTTAAACAGTTGGATGTCAGCAAAGACTAGATTTACAGCCACAGCAAGAAATGTCTAGAGAGCAGATTCTTTCTATTTTGGACACTACAGGTGCCATCGACAGGCAAACAACTGCTCCCTCAAGGAGAGCTTGCTATTAAACCTTATACATGCTCCTGAAGAAAGGCAGTAGGTGCTGAGGAGTCAGCTAATCATTAATTGGTAGAGCATCATGCTGCTGACAGTGTAGCTTTGGTTCCACCATACTGTATTTTAGATAGTGTGTGATTTTCAGGCCCATGAGGATTGGGTCTGACTGTACTTGGGTTCCTGTTGAATCTGGTATGAGATAGGGCTGAATTTGACCTTTTGACCCACTCTGAAACTCAAACTGTGATCTGTTTCATATTTGGTCCAAAGGCCTGGTAGAAGAGCCGATTAGATTATAATGACCCTCAGTCTTCTCTCCTTTTGCACCACCATGGGGACAGAAAATGGTGGGCGGCATGTAAGTGGAAACAATACAATGACAGACCAAATGGTTGCATTCCTACACCAATCCTACATCTTGAAAAGCTGGTAGCGGAGGTGATCTAATGTACAATCACAATCTGCAACAAAAATAGAAAACAGGCCTTTCAGTGACAAATTTCACCACCATCCCCGTTTGTCACAAAATGGCAATATCTGGCTTGACAAACTAGTCCCATGCTAGCAGGGCTCCAAGAACAGTAAAATCAGGGTGTTGTTTGGTTTTGCTACTACTTTAAAATACTGCTCATACAAAAACTATGAAGAAATCAAATTAAACTGTGTGTCTAACTACAAGGGATGAACAATTAATTATCAAAATGAATCACAATATAAAGTGCCATTAAAATGTGTTATCTGCTACAGATTCTAAACAATCTAAGTGGCATCCCTGCAGGCTTCAAATGCACACACTCTACCCGCCTCCGCAGGCCTCATGTGAATCCTGCAGAGTAAATGAGTGAGAGGGGATGAAGAGAGACACACCAATAAATTTCACTGTAGCAAAACCATACGTGGGTGAGCAGAACAGTAGGTCAGTCTTCTGGACCTATTTTGATTTTAGACCAGAGGATGCACTGACATCGCCTAGCTTAGGATGATAATCACCTTTATTTGGCCAAGTATATTACAGACACAATGAATTTGTTTCCAGTACAGAACCGAGGCAGCCAACTGCGGCGTCAACTCGCACCGATGGCTCTAACCATCAGGGACAACTTGGGGGTTCAGTGTCTTGCCCAAGGACACTGACACGTGGACTGCAGGCACCAAGATTCGAACCTCCGACCCTTGCGTTGGGAGATGACTGCTCTACCCACTGAACTACAGTCACCCCCAAAAGCTAGTGACCATATGAGGCAACGGCCCAAATTCCTTCCAACGTGTTTAAACAAACAAACAAAAAAAAAAGGCCACCTATCCTTGATAATACTAGATTGTCCAATATGATAAATAAACCGCTCTGTCTCATATTGGATCAATACAGGATACAATATGTCATTAATGCTTTATAGTTTATTGGTCATAGTGCTGAAAACATCACAATACTAAGTAAAACTAAACCAGTTTAGAAAAGTTGTGAGATCAGAGGATAAAGACAGGCTCTATCATCTTTACATACGTGGAGTAGCACAGCCTGCTGGCAGTCCCCCTCACCTCCGTCTCCCTCCACTAACTGCAATCCCATAGCTCTGTCACCCAGGTGCTGTTAGCAGCAGTAACTGTTGTTGACTCACTTTACATGAACAACACAGTTTAAAAAGTGTAAAGGTGTGGCAGAGAAAAGAGGTTTAATTAAATTAAAGTAATTGTTCAGTGCATCTAGCAGCAGTAACTGTGCAGACCACAGAGGATTCAGGACCACAGCTCCCAGTAAGTCCAGTACAAACACCAGTCAAGTTTTAGCCAAAAGCATAAGATGCATTCAGAGAAAGCTCACCTGAGTTTGCTTAGCAGGGTGATGTTGTACAGATAAGTATTCTGCTCTGCTTTCATCAGGAATTCTAATACATAAATTAAAGTACTCAAAGTTTGTGATGAGCTCAGATCTACAGAATTTTATGAGTGCTCTGCATTTCCTGCTATACTGTTTGAATTCTAACCTCACACTCTAGCCAAATAACCAGTTAGAGAAAGTGAAAAATAGAAATGCTATTTAAAACAAAGCAAACTGAATAGCAGTAAACCTAACCCTCAGCACCACCAATGCATGTAAAGATGTTTTGGTTTGTCAGTCAGTGAGTCAAGCTATAGTTTGACATGATGCACACACACACACACACACACACGTTAAAAAACGGGCTCAGTTCATTTTATCAGTTACCTCTTGATGGAAATGTGTAGCTTAAATGATGCCCTCCATTCTCTAGACTTGGCAAAATAAGCGCACAATTATTATGAATACACACTCAAATGTGCCAAAAGTAGGATAAACATTATTCATGTTAGATGAAGTTTTGACCTATATCAAGCTGTGCCATCATAATTTTGCTGGGCCCCATGATAAGAACACCATTCTTTAGCCCCACCCTACTCTGCCTTTGACCTGATCTAGCATGCTTTCAATCTTCACCCAGGCAGAGAGTAAATACGCAGTGTCTCAAGCAAGCCAGCCTTATATCTATATTGTATCTGCTTAGGCCAAGCTGCTGTGGCTTGCCCTACTGGCTTTAGTGGCAGCTTTATCTGAACGCCACAGCCTGCACTGTAGTCCAGCTGCTATCCCTACTTATCTAGCTCCATCAGACTTACTTGTAGTTACTAGTTGTATCATAAAAATACCACTCTCTGACCTAGTGTACCTTTAAAACATTCCTGAATGTTGTTATACCTAGGAACTTGGTGGCAAAAATGTTGTAGCACTGCCATATAATTTGTCCTGTGTGAACTGAAAAATCATCATGTTAATGTGCACGTATATTACGGTAAAGTAAATCTTGTCCATCCCTTCTTTCATCACAGTACTGAGACAGCTCTCAATGTGTCTAGAAACTACTTCAGGGATAGTCTTGGAGCTAATCCTACTGAATTCAAGTGCTCACTTTGATATACATACGTTATACAAAGTAAAAAAAACTCTACTGGACACTCACAATTCTACAATGAAAGATGGGGGGGCAAATATCTCTCTAGTGTCAGAGACAAAACACTAAGGCCAGGTTCAATGACCACAAATTAGCAATTAAAAAAGAAATTAAGAAAATCAAGGCAACCAAAATAAAAAAAAAGTTGTCACTGTTCAATAGGGGAGGTCAGAGAGAGGCACACTTCTTATTACAATGTAAGACATTTAATGAATTAAGGAAAACTTATTTTGAGAAGTTTTCAAAGAGGCTGGTAACATCTCAAGCTTAAAAATACTCCTTTTAACAAGAAGGTTTTGTGAAATTTAAATATGATTCAAATAAAAAAAGTTTTTCATCTACCTAGTTGTGACGAGTTCAGAGGGAATTACCCATTACTCTATATTTATTTTACAAATAAAACTTTGCTACTTAAAGTTAACAGTACTGCCTGTCATAACCTAAAGAATCACTACTGGGCTCACCAGCCACATCCATCTCTGTCCTTCTCGTTTAACAGGCTACAGTGATCTTTGATTTTAGCTTGTTCATAACAATTAGCTCTTAGCTAAGCAAGCTTCCTATGGTTAACAAACTGGTGGTGCAGGACAGACTGCAGGAAGAACTGAAACAATCACTTCTCTGCACGTTTATGCTTGTTTAGTGGGTGTTTTGGTAGATTACTCTTAGTGACATTTTACTCACGCAGGTTTTAGTGCATACAGTAACAAGCTTAGGTGTAGTGAATGCAAGTAACAAGTTTCACTGCCAAAACATGCTTGCACTGGATTTACAACACAAGACAAAACTAGAGCATCACTGCAAAATGCAGTGTGGCACAGTAATTGTTTTATCCTGATTACTTTGTTTTCATAATCATTGGAGGTCAAAATTGAAAAAAAATGTACATAATCCTAATGTTTTATGTACTGCTCAGATATTCAAATATTTATAATTTGTATTGTAATGCTTTGGAAACATTGTTGAAACTTTCATCAACGAGTCCTCCAACCTATATGACCCATATGGTTGTTTATCCTATGGGTGCAATGAGGGGGAAGAGACAATCACCAGAAATAGCACCAGCAAGACTTTTGTCATCATAGAAACTGTGAAACATACTGTTACAATTATGAAACAACTATGGTTTCATTACATTTTTTCACAAAAGTTACTTGATTAGGTTTAGGAACAAAACTACTTGAAAAGCACCAGGGGTGTGACGAGATCTCATGATATTAAAATGTGATTTCTCGTCGAGGCAAAAGATGTCTCGCGATATCAGCATGTAACAGAACCAGAGCAGCAGCCAGTGTGACTGAGTATGACTGTACGTTCACATTAGTCCAGCAAAAACGCAACACCCTGCTGTATTTTAACATGGGGCTGCGTTGGTCGGAGGGGTGAGGGGTTGCAGGGGGAGTGTTTTTGGCATGATATGGCAACATTGTGACGAGTTGACATGAGTGGTTTCATTCACATTTCCACCCCGTGAGTTTCTGTTGTGTTTTGGTTAGCCATGCTGCTAACGTAGCTTACTCTAGTTTAGCACCTATTCTACCACCAGTGTCAGCATTGATAAACAGCACCGTTTAACATCCAGTACTAATGAAAATGCATGGCTTGTTTTTATGGCGCATTAACTTTGACCCAAATTCGAATAGCAGTGAATGCTAATGCTAACAAGCTAAACA